AGCTTCTATTTCTATACAATGATAAATGCCCATATGTATTTCTAAGCCCTCTTAGAAGCACCACCATTTGCAGATGAAATAACTAGTGCAGTCAAAATTAGAAATATTAAGAACCATGTGAAAAATGAAATGCCAATAAACTTCAAAAATTAACAAGAAATTGTGAATGTGAAATTGTCTGTAGTTAGAAACAAACAAAAACAAGGGAAAACATGATGATGGGTTGAAAATGCCAGTCAAAGAGATTCTAGAGGAAGCATCACATAGAAAGTTAGGTTCCAGTCTTGGTTTAGCTGCTCAGCAGTGATGTGATTTCACTGAAGTCCCTCAAGCCATGTGGCTTTGGTTTCCTGTGTTCAACAGGAAGCTGTGGTCCCTGTTTTAACAGTCGGCACATAGTTCATCAGAACATCTCAGCAGCCATCTCTTCTAAGTGGTATTTATTCAAAGGTCTTTTGTAAATCAGTTCCCTAAAGCTTGGGGCAAATATGCTCAGAGAAAGAAGGTGGAGCAGGTGCTGTGTGATGTCCCAACAAGTTTTCAAAGGCTGTTCAAACCACAGGTAACCCTAAAACATAACATTACTGTATTAAGCCTAATCACAATTTTAGGTTTTATGGGGAGTGTCCTAACTCCAAGTGTTGAGGGTAGTGGAGGAGCGGTGGAGGCAGGTGGGTGCTGGGGGAGAGGTAGATGCAGGGGGACTTGGAGCCCAGTCAGGGGCACCATGAAGTACGTATCATCACAATATAATTCTAAGCAAATTAGATATTTTAAAAGTAGGCCTTTGAAGCTTGTTCCTTCTCTAACAGGTTACTTCTTAAAAAGAAAAAATCAAGATACACTTGTTGAAAACCCTAAGTTTGATACTTACCAGTGCAAAGTGACACCATGTAGAGATAGAGATGGAAACACTGTTACAACTAATGCGGAGAGATGCTCGGCATGGATGAGATGCCAAGTCCTGTTTGAGACAAGTTGGATTTGAGGTGTGTGAATGGGCCTGAAATAGGGAATGGAAGTCGAGCGGGGTCCTAACACAAACAAACATAATAGTAACAGATGTGTCAAGAAGAAACGTTTTCAGAGACTAGAAAACTTTGGCTACAGTCTTGAGGAACACTGGTTTAGGAATGAGAGAAGGAAAAGGCTCTGGTAAATAGGCCAGGAAAGTTGAAAAACAATCAAGAAGTCAAGAAGCTAAGGGAAGAAGGTGTTCTTGTTCTGCAGTCTGACTGAGATGAGGGTAGTATGACAGCTTCAAGGGCAGATGTGGCAAGACCACAGGAAGGAGGCTTAGACCCAGAGGCAAACCTTTCAGTTCCCAGGCAGGTGAGCTGGCTCCGACCATATGGGATTCTCCCCAAGGATAAGAGTATCCTTTTGGACCCCAGGGCCTGTTGGTTTGTACTGGCTTTCCACACACCACTTCTAAGATGAGTGAAGTGTAAAAACAAACAAACAAAAAGATGACTGTTTTAAAATGTTTCTTAATTAAAATAAAGCCTCAAACACAGGTGGAAGGACCAGCCTTACACAGAAAGACAGGATCTCTTCACCATCAACTGGAAATCATGAGCAAAACATGGGAGGTCAGCAGATGTCTCAAATGGAAACTGAAGGGTTTTCCATTTGAAGACCTGATTTTGCTGTTAAGCAAGAAGAGGGTCTACGGAGAATTGAGAGACAAATAGAGGAAGGAGTCAACCTGTGAGGAGGGGAGATGGCTTACAAGGCATCACTGAGGAAACAGCTGGAATATGGGGCAGTGTTGAGAGACCAACTAGCATTTGTAATCAATCTGTCTGGTTGTATGACTTCCCCAAAGGAACAGGTGTAAAGCAGATGAGATGGATTTATCCAGAGTAGGGGCAGGGGGTGCACAGAAAAATATGGGCAAGGATAAGAGTAACTTTATGAACAGACCTTGGGAGCAAGCAAGATTCCCACATGTAGGAATCTTGATTTGGAATAGCTGTGCCTCCTCTAATCATCTCTGTGCTGTTGCTAAATTCTGTGGACACTGTACACTTTGCAGGTGGCTCTAAAACTGACACAGATTTGTGGCTCATCTAGCTAATGTGGGAAATGTCACCAAGACCCTAACTCCACCAACTGCAAACTAAGCTTCCTCCTTTTTTCCTATGATCATTTCCCTCTTTCCCCTCACTTCTCATTTTTTCATTTATATTCTGTGAGCTGAACTAAGTCCTTCCAGAAACTGAGCTGTAACATCAATAGGTCAGCTGGAAGCATAAATATTTCTGAACTTTTTTTGTTTGTTTTGGTGGTTGTTTTTCATAAATGCTTAGGTTAAGAAATATGTGCCTTTTCCCCATTTTGTATCCTACAGTTAAATTTGCCAGTTTATGCAAAGAGGTAAAAAAAAAAATCAGTGGAAAAAGAAGACCCTACACTTTAAGATTCACCACTGACAAATGCCTATTGTAATCCCAGTGCTTACAGGTGAATAACTTACTGAGATGCATAGAACTATACAGTACCAAATACTGAAAATCTTCTGAAAGCTGTTAACATGAGGAATTCTAACTACTCAAAAACGTAAGGGAAAAAAAGAGGTTTTAAATGGAATGCTCATTTTCAAGAAACTGAAAAACAAAATATGCTTTAATTTATATTAAACAAATCTGAGAATGCAGTGTATATCAGAATATTATAGCACCTCAGGATGATTCTAAACATGTTATTATATAAATACAATGAATGCAAAACTTAACAAGTGATTAGAATAAAAATAAACCAACTATAGTAAAAACTCTAAACCTAAATTCAAATTATCTTTAAAATATTTAGCTCTGAATTAAAAAATAGTAAAGAAAAAACCCTGATTCTCCAAATATCAAAAATATTACAAAGTTTTTATTGACAAGTGCTTTTATTGACAAGCTTCATTTATAGTTCATTATAAAAATTCCTGGGCTTACTGTTTACTAGGCTTGTACTGCAAAAGTACAAACAAAATCACTATAGTTTTATTCATTATAGCATTGTTGATACAGTATACAGTACCTCAAAAACTTGAGAAAAAATGTTACTAACACTAAATCTGTAATATGATACCACATATTCAGTAACAGTATGAATTAAAATTGACAAGTACAGTGTCAATAACTTAGGTTGGCCAACTAGTTAGTACTATTGCTCAGACTATAGTTCACTGGTCATGAGCATGAATGGTCTCCAGAGTCAACTGCCTCATCCTGTCCTTTTAGCTGTGACCTTAGACAAACTACTATCTGCAAGTATGCCCACAAACTAGCTCTTGGAGATCACAGGTGGGAATTTTGATTTGGAGCACCAGCCATTTTCCACAGTGTAAATATTTTTGCCATGATTAATTTTAAGCTACCGCTGTAACATCACTGAGGGAAAAGTTGGGAAGAGATGCCCACAGTGGTCTTGAGATAATAAAAGTATAGACCTCTTATGATTTTGGTAGGAATTAAAGGAGCTTAAATACGAGATCTGTCCAGAAAAATTGCAGCCATTGTTAATATGAGAATGGTTTGTGCAACATTGATGGAACCTGGCAGTCAAGAAGAATGGACTGGAATGCACACATGTGAACAATGACGGCTTCACTGTGCTCGTCGGTGGGAGTGGTAGATGCCGTTGAGTGAACACGTGTATTTTGTGGCTGTTGCATTCAAAATGACTGAGTGAGTAGAGCAATGTATCTGCAGCAAATTTTGCATTAAGCTTGAACACTCCTCCATGGAAACTATGTGGATGATTCAGAAGGCTGCAGCTATGAGCAACTGGTACTGGCAGCTTCATCACAGCAACACATTCACTCATGCATCATATCTTGTGCAGAGTTCTTTGGCAAAACATCATTATCACTCAGGTGACCCTGCCCCACTGCAGCCCAGATTTGGCACCCTGTGACTGGTGGCTTTTCCCAAAATTAAAATCACCTTTGAAAGGGAAGAGATTTCAGACCACCAATGAGATTCAAGAAAATACAATGAGATTCAGGAAAATATAACGGGGCAGCTGATGATGACTGTGAGAACTGTGTGAGGTCCCGAAGTGCTTACTTTAAAGAGGACTGAGGCATTATTGTCCTATGTACATTCCTTCTATCTTCTTTTTTCTTCAATAAATGTCTCTAATTTTCATACTACTTTTCTGGCTGGATACCTTCTGGACAGACTTTGTATATGGCACATAGAGCACTCAATAAAGGTTAGCTATCATCTTCATCATCAGCATCATCTTACTAAATCATCAAAACTTACGGTAATTTTATATTTTGGTATGTCTCAGGAGTTAAAAGTATCACAACTGATGAAATAAATTCTTAAGTCTTCCTGTATGCAATTTAAAAGCACTGAATAAATATGCCTACCTAGAAGGACTCTCCTTTTTTAGCAACCTCTAATATGGTATTATATATACCCCAAACTATATTACAATTTGCATGGTAATAATAATCCATTATACAAATCTTATTTAGATTTGTAGAATACTTTAATTTTTATAAAGCAATACCTTCTTAAAAAAAGCTTGTTCTACCTCAAAATATACCAGAAAAAATTTACATTGCCAGCATATTTTAAAAAGCACCAATAGAAGAGTTCAATAATTTGAAGATAAACTAAAATAAAAACCAAACCCCACTAAATCTCACTAAAATTATCTTCAAAAACATAGTAGTAACACTTCATACTAACTCAAAATAGAGTATATAGTATTTGATTTAGTGAGCACTTTGAAAATAATCACTGCAGAAAGAACCTGTTTTTTTGTTATACCCTTGTTTAAGATACTATACTCAGTAGGTGTCAATTCAGTTCTATTCACTCCCATACAGCCACACAATTAAAAATATAACTGTTGTCAAAATACAAAGTAAAATGAAAGAACAAGAAAAGACATGAAAAGGAAAAATCCTCTTAAATTGTTTTCAATAAAACATTAGGTTTAAAACAGCAATGTCACAAAAGGAAAACGGCAACCCTTGACCTTCAACTCACCTGTAAACAAAAAACAAAATATCCACTAATGGTCTGTTCTGTGATGACATCTTCCATGGTCCGCAAGGTGGTACCCAGGTAGGAATTCAGGAGCTGGGTAGGAAGCAGTCCCACTGAAGATGCCATCAGATAGTTGGGTAAAGAGAGATCAGTCATCTAGAAGACCAGATTAAAGGGAATGGGATGATGATTCATTACTATGAAAACTTTCAGTCTCACATAAAACTGTGTACAAGTCTTGCTAGTGGTTTTTCCTTGGGGATAGAGGGAGATAAAATACTTTAAAGGATCTGACTATTGAAAATGGTTATAAACAAATACATACAGAATGTAGAGGTTTAGAATGAAAGTTTAAAAATTTTAAATATTCTATTATTCTCCCATTGAAAGAACATTTATGACTTTTTTTACATGTACATAAAATGTGCACACATGGATCACTTTGTAAAAAGTTTTCTTCATGCCATTCTTCTTCATAACACATTTAAATGGCACTCTGGTCACCGGGCTTTGAAGCCTCACAACCCTAGAATGACTTCTGGTGCTAAGAACTTCATCAGCAATACCATGTCTCTGAGCATCAGCTTTTTTATCTATAAAATGAGGATAATAACTGCCACCCTACATGGTATCAGGATCGGAAGTATTTTCTAGCAAATGCCTAGCACATAACTGACACTCAAAAACAGAGGAAATTAATTATCATTATGTGATTTCACTACCACTGTGTGGATGCAGCTCAGTTTAACCATTCTTCTGCTGTGGAACATTTAAATCACTTCTTTATGTGTTTCTTTTTTTCCCCACTATTAATTTTTACACTAACCTAACTATACTAAATACACTAACCAGTGTAGGAGGCAGTGTCTAAAATATTCCACAAAACACATCTCAGTGATTCACTCAACCTGTGATCCTTTCCCTAGAGCTCAGGCTGCACCTAGTAGGTGCTGTAAGTAGCTCTCTGGGGAGGCCCATGAGGTGAGGAATGGCTGTCTTCAGCCAACATGAACAAAGACCTGAGGCCTATATGGAGGCAAGACTTCAGATGACTGCAGCCTGGCCACACTTTGACTGCAGGTGTGAGAGAGAACTGAGTCAAAGGCACCTGGCATGATGCAAAGGGATTCCTGACCCACAGAAACTGAGATAAAGTTTAATGTTTAAGCCACTCAGTTTTGGAGTGATCTGTTACACAACAAGTTACTAACACAAGGTGTCTTTCCATTAGTTTTAGGATAAATCACTAGTAGTGGAATTACTGGATCAAATTCTAAAAACTGTTTTCCCAAAAAATTCCACAGTGTTAAATAGTATTTACATACCTATTAATAAGTAATGCGCTAGTGTCCATTTCATCATATCGACTTTAAGAATGAAATTTCAATCTTTCCAAGTTTGACAGGGATAAAAATATTTCATCATTGATTAATCTATACTATTTCAATTTATATTGATATGTTTTAAATATATTTTTTCTACTTGTATTTCTTTATGGCTTTAATTTCCCTTTTTAAATTGGAATGTTAAGTATTTTTATTTACTCATAAGGGCTCTTTATATAATAAGGGCAACCTTTTGATTAGTCTATGTGGCAAATATTTTCCTCTATAGTGTCCCTTGTTTTAATTTTGTATTGGCATATACTTGTTTCTACATTTTTGTGTAATCAAGTATTATTAATCTTTTCCTATGATTTTTTCCATTGCTTTTAGCTTTAGAAAGTCTTTATATCCTAGTGCTAGATTTTACCCATTCCTCTTTTATTGTATTTTCCTTTGTAACATTTACTACTTATTCCTCCTATAATTTACCTGGCTTAAATGTGAGGATATAACCTATTTCTCCCCTTCCCCAATAACTAATTTTCCTAGCATTACTTGTGAAATAATAACTTCTCCAGTGACTTGCGATGTTTACTTTATTAGAAATAAATTGTACATAAAAGGATCTATATGGCATTCTAATATGGTCTACTGATATCTTAAATCTTATATTGTAAAGACTATCAGTTAATGTATTTATTTCTTTTTTTAAAATTGCTGTAACTACTTTTACCTGTTTATTCTTACAGGTGAATTTTAGGATTACTTTGTCATTCAAAAAAAATTACTCAATTTTATAAGGTAAAGATTAAGGTAAATTTATAAATTAATCTGGATAGGGCTGAAATCTCCAGAATATTCAGCATTCTTATCCAAAATGTTTCTATAATTTCTCAGAATCTTTTACATCTCTTATTAATACTTACTAGTATTATTCTTATATTATGCATGTTATTCATTTATTTCCAAGTATTTTATGTTGTTGTTGCTACTACTATTAATTTTGAGAATAACTTTTCTATGTCCCCACTTCAGTATACGGAAAAGTATCTTTCCATTACTTTTAGGATAAATCACTAGTAGTGGAATTACTGGATAAATTCTAAAAACCGTTTTCCAAAAAAATTGGGTTGTTACTACTATTAATTTTGAGAATAACTTTTCCATGTCCCCACCTCGGTGTTAGTAATATGTGAGGGTTCTGGTTCCTCTTTCACTACAATCTTATTTTTGGTAAAGCAACATTTATCTGCACTCATAGATGATTAACTAGATGCAGTTCTGCTGGTTTAGAAGGTCACTCACAACCCCCTGACCAATTACTGACTCAGCATCTGCTCCATCAAGATCTCAGTGGAACCAAGAGAGACAGAAAGTAAAGATACAACTAACCTACTTTGAAAGATTACACATGACAAGGCACACAAACCCCTTAGAAACAGGCAGAGAGGGAGCCATGTGTGCAAAGCATTAGATTGAACAGGATTAAAAATAGCTGCAGGAATGGGGCCAGCAGTGACCTGTGGAAGAAGAGGCTTTAGAAACAGTTTGGAAGGTACATCTGGGTTGGCAGGCAGACATGTGGGATGAGGAAGAGAGTGAACAGGAAGAAGACACTGGGCAGGAAAGCACAGGCTGTACTGGACATTGGTGTGCAGTCTAGGTTGTTTCCAGGGCACATGCATAGGAACCCTGCAGAACAAAGATGGGACAGGTGCTTGGATGACACCTGTAGGGGTTTTGGGGGTGACCCTGGGGGGTCTAGTTAAGGAATGACATAAGTGGGGCTAAGTTTTAGGAAAGTTCCTGACAGTATGCAGCACTTACAGGAATGAAGAACTTTTCTTTAGAATAAACATGTTAAATATATAAAATAAGTAAATATGACAAAAATGTATCTTATAATAATATTTTGCAATTAGTAATAAACCATTACATGTTTTGGAAGTTATCTTTAAAATGAATATATGTTACAAAATGTCAATGCAAATATTCAGTCCATAGTCTAAATGTAATGAAGTTTCTCTGAATAGTTAAAAAAGATCTTTATAAACTATGAGGAACTGCAGGTTTATAATTTTTACTCATTAAACAAAAATTTATCATATGCCTTCTCTACATAAGACCCCACACTAAACAGAGATAAAAAGATAGAAAACCACAGTACCTGCGGGGTAATTTTAAGTCATTTTGTGGTATACTTAATGACAAAATGTTCATTACATTCAGTGAAAGGCCACAAAACTCACTCATAACATTTATTTACAATGTTATAGAAGAAAAGCAACACATTAAACAAATGCAAAGACTAGAAAAATAAACACTAAAATATTAACTGTTTTCTTCTTCAAGTAAAAATAACTTGTACTTTTCAAAGTTCTTACAATGAACACTTATTTTGTAAACAGGAAAACATACTGTTAAAATAAGTTTTTAAAAGACTTCTCTGCTTTTAAAGAGTTTTCTGTTTTTAATCTAGGAAGGTATAATAAGACTATGATACAACAGGCTAGAGATATAAATTTGTGAATTGGAAGCCCATATGGCACTGGAACCATGAGGTCTTTGAGAAACCCAGATTTTCTCAGATCAGCAGAACCCAGGTAAGTCCACAACTCCCCCATTTACCAGCAATGTGATCTTGGACTAGTTTCTTCACACACCATGCTTTCACTGACTTAGCTGTTAGGTAAGGATTAGGGTTGATGTGAGCATTAAATAATGTGCATGTTATAGAAGAACAGGATCTGGCACCCAGTGCACTATAATTACTACATTAAAAATAAAAACTCTGCACGTCAGTGTTCTCATTTTGGCGTGCAGAGGATAGAAGGAAATAGTATTAATGAGCAAACTTATGTATTTTATCACAGCTACACAGCAGGCATTAAATACATTTTACAGCAGAAAGTGTGGCTCAAAAAAGTAACTATAAATAATTCAAGATGTTACAGGAAATGTTAGAACCAAGTCTGATTTCAACTGTGTGACGTCTGTCCCCTACGGAACTCAGCTTCTCCATCACTGATGACACCTTGAAAAACTGTTGTGATGATTAAGGGATTTCATGCACAAAATTCTGCTCTGTAACTGTGACATGGTATACAACATAGGAATAAGAGGATCTTTCATGCTATGGTCTATGTTTTTAAATTTATTTTAGGTTTCAAAGATTTAACATGAATTACAACAAAATTTCCCATGTGGATTTAAAAAATAGAAACTATCAGAGTCTTGATTTTTTAAGTTTTTCTATAGCCAAAGAGAAAAGAAAAAGAATGATTTTTAGGATCTCCTGTGGAATGAGAACAAAATCAAACCCTTTTGGAAATTGCAAGCACTGATATAAATATTGTTACCCATAAAAACCAATTATTATGTACTATTTTTTGACTTAAAAGATAACATTTCACAGGTAGTAACTTTAAACTGTAGAAGTCCAGATGACTCCAAGTGGACATCTTAAAGGAGAGCTTATAAAAAATACTTTAATGTTTACTAAATACAGAATGGAATGTTATTCTTGTGAATGTTTCTAGTTTTCAACTTTATCAACAATTTTCTTTTAGATAGCTTTACTCTTTTAGGATTTGATCTTCTCCTATACCTGCATTAACTGTCCTTTCCTATTGAACCAGTTTCTTTTTCTAGCAATTGATAAACAGGAGAACCTGAAGTTTCAAGGCTATAGACAAGATTTGCTATGTTTGAATCAGAATTATTGCGTCTTCCTCTTAGAGTGCCAAGGATTACATAAATTAATGCATCAAAGGGCACGTAGTAAACTTGGAATGCCCAAAGAGAGCCTGGAGAGTGGTTATGAGGGTTTGGAATTTGTCCTGAGGGGACAATATAACCCACTTGAGGGTTTCCTGCAGGGGAGTACCAAGATCAGACCTGGCAGCAGTAAGACCTACAGAAACAAGATCACTCAGAAAACATAGGAGAAAAATCTTTAACTATTTCCCAGCAGAAAAAAATGGTGCATTTTTAATAGAGGAAAAAATTTAAGAATGCATGTGGGAAATTATATTTCTTATGATCTAAGAATTGATACTCTAAAGTGTTATGTACTTATTTTCTATATAAAGAGTTTCCAAAGGGGGCTATCGGCCTGCTTTTCCCTTCCTAACACACATGGGAACAGGAAGTACTATGGTTGAGAACAGGTAAGTAGGGGGAGAGCCCCTTCATTCTTTGGTATGTTCACCTTTACAATCAGCATCTGCCTTTAAGTGTAAAGGCCACTAGCTCCACCACTGATAACAGTAACTGCTAACAGTTATTGAGTGTTGACTATGTGCCAGGGAAAATACTGCCTTCACTGCATTAGCTCAATAAACCCTGACTCAGTGGACACTGTTGAGGGTTGCCTGTTTACAAGCCTGTGGTCCTCAAGACCACTACACATCAGTCCTCTTTGAGGTGAGACCAGGTAAATTTCTTTAATCATGGTCATTGAAAAAATTAGTTTTAACTGGAATGGGGGGGGCATAATTTAAAATACAGGAAGGGAAGAAGAAAATAAGAGAAATATAACTGATAAAGAGAGCAGCAGTGGGCGGACAAAGGAGCCTGGGAGTGGAGAAGATGGAGGTGGAAAGAAGGTCTGGAAGGCAGAAGGGAAAGTTGCACTAAAATATCCACCTAAGCTTTCTTTTCACTCATATCCCATAAAGGAATTCAGTAAACTGTTCAGGTTGAATAATGGAAATGAATAAGATGTATACGACTATATTCAATGACTTCGAAAGGATCTTTGTGCATGATCCACCAGTAAGAATTTTCAGTGCAATGCACCTAATCAACCCATCCTGAGCTCATCCCTCAGCTGTGCCTCTTCAGAGAGACGAGGGGGCTGACCCTCAACAAGCTCCAAGATAATTAAGCCTCCAATTCTTACTCTATAAAGTTGTGCCAATAATACCTATTTCAAGAGACTTTTTTTTTTCTTTCTTTTCTATTGACCTCATAATGTCAAATTGAGAGCTGTCTCTGGTCAAGCTGTTTTAACTACATAATTACCTTAATTTGCATGTACAAAATACATCTTCTTACTTAATATGTCAGAGATATTATCAAAAAACACCTTACTTTTAATTAATAAATATGTAATGAGTCTTTATTCCTTATTAGATGACCAGAATGAAGAAACAGAGCCATGGATGACATCCTATCATCAGACTATCTTTTACTTACTAACTAGGTGACCTTGGGTAATTACAGTAAAGTCTACTAAGGCTAAGATGTATTAATACGTTTGTTAAGCCAGGCTCTGTTACATGTATTTACCTGATTGTTACTCTTCTTAACAATCCTATGAAGTGGGTACCACTAGTTTCCCCATTTACAAATAAGAAACTGAACCATAGAAAGAATAAGCAACTCGACCAAGAGAGTCCGAGGTACAGGACTCCCTACACCAGCTCTGTGTTCCTTACTATCCAATAGCAAGCAACAAGGCATGCACAATCACCTTCTGCAGGGCTGGTTTAAAGGTTAGTCCAGTGCATGGAAAGAATTTAGGAGAGCATGACCACAGCAGATGGACAAGAAAGGGACTATGATTACAAGGATACAATTATACTGAAGAACTAAGCAAACTTCCGTAGTCCAACAGTCATTCAAAGTCTTAGGACACTTGATATTACCTGAGCTTGATGAAAGTTCATATTTACACTTCATACTGTAGGAGGTTGTGAAAGGGAAAAAATTAAGGCTGAGACCCTACCAATCTACAGTAAACACCAAACTGGATCTCTACAGATAACCCCTTATGTATTTCCAGGCCTCCACCATAATTCAATCCACAGTCATTGATGCTGCTGGTCAGAGGCAACACAAGATTTACAAAAGGATTTCAGAAGAAAAAAAAAAATCTTAATTTTGTCACAAAGAGGAAAGTTGTTTAGAATTATTCTTAAAACAAAATGAGAAAGTTTCTACACAGTAAAAAATGATTTATTTTCTAAACAAAACAAGGTGCCAGAACCATTAACAATATGTAATGCAAGCACTCCTATGGTTTCGAATGCTCTTTCTCTACTTTCACAGTTTCTCTAAGTCTAGCTGAAAGGCTGAGTTCCTGAAAAATCTCTGCGAACTCTGTAGAATTAGTTAATTTGGGGAATTCAGTCATCTAGCCCAATCCCTTCTCCTTAGCAAAGGGAAAGCACAGGCTGGTAGGTTGGTAGTGTGTGCCCAAGTCACCAACTGTGTGAAGAGTCCCTTCTTGCCATGGGACACAGTCTCCTCATAGGCAGGGTTTCTGTTCCTCCATCAATTGCAGAACGAGCAGACGAGCTACAGGAATTTAAGTCCACTAGCAAAACATACAAGGACAGAAAGTCTGGAGGTGTGTAAAGGAGAAAAACATGCTCACTGGGCACACGGTTACTTGGTGATTTCAAAATGAAATTCCTTCAAAAAAATAAGCAGGAGGATTCTCCTCTTTATATGGCATTAAAGCAAATTAGCGGACAAAGAAAAGGCCTATTACAATTAGGAAACTCAAAAGTGTGGAGTCGGCAGCTACGAGCCCCCCTGTTTACTGCATGTCATTAAAACTGGAGTCAAACTGATTCAGGTGACAGAGAAGGCTAGGAATGCAGCTGTTACCCCTTGCCTGTTGCAACGTTACTAGGTGAACATTACAACTGAGAGCCTCCATTCAACTATTAATGAACATTTCCATTCATCTGCGCTCACAGCCACGTTCACTTTTAACCAAACTCATGCAGAAGAAGGGTATTCTTCCTCTGTCAGATTCCCACTGAAGGCCTGACCCTGATCAGCTTTACTTGTGTAAACTTTCCTAGGCTGCCACAGAAAGTCAGTATAACTGCTGTCGTTGTCACCTCTCGCTGGCACTGATCCCATGGAGCGCCTTCTCAGGCGTCTCAACCGCTTGAACGCAGGCATGGAGTGGAGGGCCGCGGACGCCACTCACCGAGAACACTGCGTTCTGAAGCCCAAACGGAATAGGGGTCAGCCTGGCCAGCGCCACCACTTTGAGGCCGCCGGCTCCCTCCACCACGCGGATGACGGCGCTCAGCCGCTCACTGCCCCGCACCCGGGCGGCCACCCGAGCCGCCAACAGCCGCCGGCACACCACGTGCGCGACGCCTGTGCCAAGCAGAACGCCCGCCGCCATGAGCGTCATACCCAGTACGAAGCCGTACAGGTAGCCGGCAGCCACGCTGAGCACAATATAGCCCCAGCCGCAGGGGAACGATACTGCCACGAAGCCCAACACAAAGAGTAGCAGGCCCAGCAGCGGCGGCAGGCCCTCGGCCCAGAGCAGCAGGTGCTGCAGCGAGCGGCGGGCCAGGGCCACCGAGGCTAGGCCCAGCGCGGCCAGCAAGCAACCCAGCGTCAGGCCCCGGCAGCCGCAGGCGCCGCCCGGGCAGCCGCAGCGGGCCCGCCCCACCTCGGCCACACCGCCCACTACCCCCGGGCCGCCCGCCGGGGCCGCGCCCTCAGCCGGCAGCTCCGAGGCCGCGGGCAGGCCGGGGCACCCAGACCTGCGCCGAGCGGGGAGGCGGCCTCGGAGTCCCCGCGCCCGCCCGGCTGCCCGCTGCAGGGTCCGACAGCTAAGCGTCGGCACGCGTGGCCCTCAGCCGGCCAGCCTCTCCACCGCAGCGCCCGTCAGGCGGTGGCCCTCCATGGCGCACGTCCGCTCAGGGGCGGGGAGGCCCCCGGAAAGGGCCAGCAGCAGGCGGCTGGCAGCGGACTGCGAACGACAGTCTGGAGGGCAGAGGGTCGGCCGAGAGTGAAAAACTCCGGACCCTCAGTCGCGAGCCCGCCCCTTTCCGGCTAGGGGGCGGGACTCAGAAGCGAGGCGGGGTCTCGCGCGAGCGGCCTTCTGGTCCCACCCCTGGTGACGCACAGAGTTGCGGGGCCGCAGGGCGTGGAGTTGTGGACGCTTTGGAGTCCTCTGAGGTGGGCGACCTTGGCCCTCTGATCCTCCCTCACACATGTCGGTGGTCTCAGCACCTCTGTCGGACCCGCAGCCGGTCTCAGCTCCCTTGGGGACACTCGGTCCGCTTTGTGGAGGCCTTGCTAGTCGTTCGCCCCTCTGGTGGCGAGGTTCCACCCGGGTTTCAGGTAACCAGGCCCACCTGGACAGTTCCCTCCCGACCCCAGGCCCTGCTGAGTCAGACGTTTGGACGAGGGGCCCTCAGACTTGGGGGTATTTCCTCTTCCCTTGTCCTTTAAGATTCGTGTCCGCATGTTCTGCTCGCACGGTACTGCCGGGGCTCAGCGTCTTCGGGGAGCAGCGGTGACAGCGCGACCTCATTAGTGGTTTTGAGGACTGAAAACGAACAAGTTGCTGGCCCTCGGCCTGGAATCGGGGTGCCCGTGTCACCTGCACTTCCCATGATCTTCCACCCTGCTCACCAGGCGCCTGACCGGACCCTTTGGCGACAGCTGTTGTCAAGTACCCGCAGAAACACTGTAGGGTAGATAAAGGATCATGGTTTATAGGTGAGACACGCAGGCAGGAGCACCACTCAGGCGACTAAGAAGCCATGAGGGCGGAGATTAGGTGCCGGTCTTGGAGCAAGGAAGACAGAAGAAACTACAGGTGGCTACCGATTGGATGTTGGGAGAAGGGGACACAGAGTCAAACGTGACACCTGGTCAGAGACGGGGGAGAGGTTATGGCTGGGTGGGAAAAAAAGAAAAGCCTTAGACTCTCACAACAGTATTGTGATTACCAGAGGGAAAAGGAGGTGGGAACATGACTGGGGGTGGTGAACACGCAACACAATATACAGATTATAGAATAGCACACCTGAAACCTGTATGATTTTACTAACCAATGTCACCCCAATAAATTCAACAAAGAAGAAAAAAGAAACATAATACCTGGGTTTCTTATTCCAGGTAGGGACAGGTACTGGGAACACAATTTATGGGGCAGATAAAGAGTTCAGATGTGGCACGTGAGAGAGACATGAAATGTCTGGTGCAATTCCACAGCGGCATTTTAGTATGCATTTGAAAACATGGACAGAAGTGAGTAATGGGACACACATCCCAGAAATCGCGATATTGGTGTGTAGGCAGCAGTGGAAGCCTTGGTAATAGGGGTGCCATGTGAGTCCTGTTTTCATTCAGGTTGTACCATCAGGATGAGCTGCACACACTCTGCCCATGAACTGTGAGCACTGCATTCAGCTGCTGATGCGCAACCTTCCAGAACTCTCTTTGCCACAGCAATTGAGAATATTCCAGTATGCCGTATCTGTCTGGGTCTTGGGAGGGGGATGATGCCCAATGAGTCCCCTCCACCCAAGAGTGAGAGGTAAACCTTGACTGTTTTAAGCAACTGAGATTTGAGGGGTTTGTTTATCACCAGAGCATATCTTTGTCACTTCTGACTAATGTGGATGAAAAGAGAAGAATGAAACCTTAGGGATACCAGTGTGCTCATTAGACTATTCACATGCAAGAAAGAGACACCCAGAGACCACCTTGATTAACAGGGTGGAGCAGCAATATTCATGTGGATATATGAGTAGCTGTTAGGAACCTACACACCTCAAAACACAAGCTATTCTCATTTCTTTTCAATTGTATCTCTGTTCTTTACCTCTTTGTTCTGTTGTCACACTATCAATTGGTAATTAATCTTTTTACCCTTTAATCCACACTGGGTAGAAGGACAATTCAATTGCAAGAGCCTTTTGCTTAAAGCCAAGTCTGGGCTTCCAACCACCCCAAGTTCATTCACTCATATCAAGGGTTCACCCTGATCCAAACAGTGCCACCCCCACACAAGATACCACTTAGTTCTCCTGAACTGGGAGCTATGGTCAGGGCAATGAAAATTATATGGGACCTTTTTAATTTTGTCCCACTACAATTTATTTTTTCACAGATTTGTGAAAGTTGCATTTTACAAGTGGAAATAATAGTTGATTGTGAAGAAGGGAACAATAACTCCATTATGAAGCATGTGTGATGAGTCCCTAAAAGTAGTGCCAAGTAGTTTGATGGCAAGGGTCAGGAAGATAGATGATTCCAATGGGGTGGCCATTTCCAGAGTGTCCTTAGTTCTGTTGCTGGGTTATATGTAACTAGACACTTGGAACTGAAGTCTCTCTCAATACCCTGAGCTCATTGTAAATTTAACCAGTCTCCTGTAGCTCCTTCTGTCCAGTGTTAGTTGTGGTGGGAATTGCTTTTATCTCATCAGTACACATCTTCCTAAACATGTCTCCAGTCCTCCTCTCCTTCACTGCTCTTCTCTACATATCTGACCCAGAAGAAGGTCTTGAGGCCGATGGCAGATAAGGACTAGTGGAAATAGGGAAGGCACCGACACGTATCAGCTAAGTAATTGATTAAGCTAATTAAGGAAAATTATAAGCTGACTGTATAGGTATAACTTCCAGTTCAGAATAGTCAAAAGATTTGTGTTACCAGTTTCAAGTATTTTCAATTCTTTGGAAAACAGCATCTCAGGTTTCAATTATAAAACTGTGCCTGAAAATAACAAACCTTGAAGTTATTGTAATTCTGTTACTGTACAATTTGTTGTGCACATAGTGTTGCTCAGTCTAGCCACCACATTAGTTAACACCCTATAGGATATTAGGGAGAAAATGAGTATAGAATATCCCCTTTAAATTTTTGCTTAGAAAGTAAGAAAAAGGAAACTTCAGATACTGCCAATAAGACTGATATTATTTACACAGAATAAATCCTTTCCTTTTTTTAGGCACACATATACATAATCATATGTTGTTCAATATTATTAAGCATGTATAGCTTTTCAACCCTTCTCATAAATTAAGACTGAAAGAAAATATATGACTAGAGAACATTTTTTAAAATTGGATTTATGTCAACACTACTTGTGTCATTCATTGGGTATGAATTAGGGAGAAAGGCACACTGTGCTGATCTCAGGCATTGAGTGACCCATCTGGCTGACATTGTTCCCCTTACATCTTCATGTTATTCCATCAAATATGTGCTCTCAGTTGAACAGGAAGAAGCAGGGCACCACCCCAGGAAAAAGGATTCATCTTCAGTTAAAAGAAAAGAGTTTAAAAAGGAAAAGCACAGGAGGGGTAGATAGGCTTGTCCGCCCAACTACCAAATAAGACGGTTACTTACTTCTCCATAATTACTGGGAGCATCTATGATCCCAGCATTTTAAAGGACACATTGAGGGTGAGACTTTGCCCTCAAGGATCCACCTTTCAGTATGAGAGGCATAAACAACATAGCACATATATTACATACAATGACAGCACAGAGGAAGGAATCACTAACTCTAGGAGTCAGAGAAAGTTCTAAATTTTGCAGCACAGCAATATTTGAGCTGGATGTTGAAAGATGAATATATATACTTATTTATACCCTGCTCATTCCAGAAGGATTTAAAGTGTCTTATAGGAGTTGGCCAGACCGTGTAAGAGTTAGGATAGCATTTCAGACATGGGAAGTGACAAAGCACAAAAGTATGAAAGGACACTATGTGTTTGGGAAGTGGTGACAAAACCTGAAGGCGGACACAGGGCAGATGGCATGGTCATTGTGTTACTCCTCAAGCAGTGGCTTTTAAGATTGAGCACATACAAATCCCCTGGAGGGCTTTTATAAGCACAGATCACTGGATCACATGTCCAGAGATTTGGATTCTGCCAGTCTGGGGTGGAGAAGGGCAAGAATTTGTGCAGTTGTTACAAATTCCCTAAGTGATGCTGATTTGGCTGGTCTTGGGACCACACTTTTAGAACCACTTCCCTAGAGTTTAGTTTTTATCCTATAGGCCAGCAATTTTTAACTTTTTTCATCTCACGGCACACATAAACTAATTACTAAAATTCTGCAGCACACCAAAAAAAATACATTTTTTTTGCTGATCTGACAAAAAATAGATATAGTTTTAATTCATTCATGCCAGATAGCTATTGTTGTGTTGACTGTTGTCAATTTTTTATTTTACAACGTAGGAAAAAGAGGTCAGTGCCCCTGACTAAATAATCAGGTGTTGGATGTTATAAAAATTCTGGTGGCACACCAGTTGAACATCACTGCTATAGTCAGTTGAGAGTACCTGGAATTTTTATAGCTTGAGAAATAATTGGATTTGGATTTAGAAATTTTCCTGCAGCTATGAGAAGAACTAGGGGTAATCATTGCCAGATTATTTCACATGTCCAGGAAACAAAGTCAGTGGGCTTCAACCTATTTATGGAAAGATGAAATAGACGAGAATATATACAGGCTTGATCAAGATTATGTGCAACAATTGAATAGGGAGAATGAGGGAAAGAGAAGAAATATCGGGATGTCAAAATCACATTTTACAGTGTATATGAAATACTGTAATATTTATGTTTTCAAAAAATTTTATGTCACCACAGTCTTCAAAATGGGTTCCAGCAAATCTCACAAAGTTTCACATCACTTTCTTGCCAGTGTCGTAGGTTAGGCCTTTACACCTTTATAGCTAAAGGAGAGATGGTTTAGCCATGGTCATTCATCAGCCATACTTAGAGATGCATGATATAGGATCAAGTCTTCCTAAGGCAGCATTTTCTAGGAGTGCTGTTTACCCGCTGTGCCTATCTGAGTCTCAGAGCCTTAGCTGCAGGCTATCTTTTCAAACTAAGTAGACTCCTTATCAAAAATTTTTTTAAAATTTCTTTTTGTTATTAAAATATATCTGTCTCCATTTTCCCGCCACTGCTTTCCCCTGCCCCACCCTCCCTCACCTCCCACCCTCAATCCTTCCCCACTTTGGCTTTGATCCTTTGATCCTTTGTCCATTGATCCTTTCTACATGTTCCTTGACTTGACCAAACTAAGGAGACTCTTAATGACTGTAGGAGGTCCCTCCAGCCATGAAGGATAAATTGAGACTGGCTGAAACCACAAAGTGAGAAGTGAAGTACATATGAGTCACATGATCCTAATTATATTGAACACATAATAATATACAGTGAGGTTTTGATT